TGACCCCTCCCTGGGGAAGAGAGATTTCCACATTCTGACCCCTCCCTTGGAGAGAGATTTCCACATTCTGACCCGTCCCTGGGGGAAGAGATTTTCACATTCTGACCCCTCCCTGGGGGAAGAGATTTCCACATTCTGACCCCTCCCTAGAGAAAGGCACGCCCCCCTGAAACAAATCTGGTGTGTTCAGCTCAGATGGGCCTGTGTGTGTGTGTGTGGTGTTCCTATATACCCGTTACCATTGCCCTTGCTGGCTGGCAGAGAGGACTGGGGCTTTGGGAGCTGGGGGCATGGGTAGGCAATCAGTGGGCACTTTGATCGTCTTTGGATCTCCTATTGGATCAGGGAGGAGCAAGACAGTCGAATAGGAGACTCGGTCTCGGCCAGCACTGAAATGGTCAGCAGCAAACACGAACATGAGCTGACTCTCCATGCACCACTGACGCTCTGTGAATTAAGATGTATTACAATACCTCAGGAATGAGCTGAAAGAGGGCGTTAGAGTAGAGAGTGCCTATCGCCAGGGCGATGAAGTACAGCAGCAGTCGCTTGTAAAAGGTTTTCCTCATGAATGGTACCACACTGGCCCCGATCAGAGAGCAGAGAGATATGACTGTCACACACAAAAAACCATAGCCCCAGACTGCCCGAGTATCAGTCCGACAGCCCAGGTGAGGACATGGTCGAGGTCCAGGTCAGGGTTCCATACCAGGAAGCAGGAGGCAAATTATTCAATAGAAGGGCCAAAGGCAAAGGAAAGGACAAAAGAAAGGAGAGGGAAAGCAAAGAGAAACCATTAAACTCATCAATTCATGTCAAATCAGGTCCAAAATGGGACCATATCATCATCCAATTTGATTGTTTTCAAGGACACAGAATATAATGTAGAGTCTCAGGTGATTTCTAGAATAACAGTCATCTCCGGCCTCACTTGACAATATAACACAGCCATTGATACTCTGACTTTATGGATGAACCCATGAGCAGAACAGAGATAAAGCTACGTAGCCAACCTACCATTCCCTGGGACTGTAGCTGGCCTTCACCATGGAGCCACTTCTGCTGTTACATGCACCAGCTCATTTTTTAAATTCACAATTCACCCGCATCCTTTCCAACTCCCAGCAGACCCAACATGTTTTTTTTTGGTTGAGTGTGGGGGTTAAGTGTTGCACAATTCCATGACTGTTTGTGTGAGGAAGTGTTCGTGGACATTACCCCTGAGCAGCTTGGCTGAAAGCTGAAGTTATATCATTGTGCTCGGCACTGCAAGTACCCTGTTCCCCTCGATACAGGAGGGGAGAGTTTCTCTCCTCCACCCTGATCAACACCTTTCGCCGCCTTAAAGATCTTGTATATCAGATAGGAATACAGGTTTACTTTCATGCAACCTGACCTCATCATTAAACCCTTCGAGCTTCTAACTCGAGCCTAAGTGGAGTGATGCCATGTTTCCAATTTCCTACTCCATCCTGGACGAGGGCGCCGTTATTCTAGAAATCAGACCAGTGCAATGACAGCAAACGGAGAGACAACTGGTCACTGGGTTTCAGTTTGCAAAGTCTAGGCTGCTGTGTTTGAAAGCCAGGGTGTTGGGGCAGGACATAGTGGTGATGACAAGGTCAACTGCACCTTCAATCAGAATAAAGAAAAAGTGGCCCCAAGCAGGTTGGAAAATATCAATTTGAATCTTTAAGCAGGTTTCCCATGGGATCTGGAGAGTAACACGAAGAGTACTCTACTCTTTGCCATAATGTCTCCAAATCCTGAGGAAACAGGGAATCAGAATGGATTGCCGTTTTCCAATGTGGACTGGTCCTGTTAAGAAGGAGACAGCTGAGCATCGTCTGTGGCCCCACCTTTTCCAATTCCTGACTGGGACCTGGCAAAGCCTAACTGCCAGATCTTCCAGTGGGTGAGGGGTTTCCAACGCTGCCGTGCCACATTTTCCAACCTCCCCGACCCCAGCAATGATCCCCATGCAGGGTTCCAGCAACCAGTGGTGCCCAGTTTCCACCTGGGACAGAGACTCCAGAGCTAAACTGAAACTCAGTGAAACAGCCAGTTCAGATACCATTGTGAGCAGCTTCAACGCTCTGAGGGACTGGATGTCATGGATTCAGTCAATCACCAAGACCTCCTCCCTTTGAGGTCCAGAGGAGTGGCTGAATCCAACTGTATAATGAGACGAACGGCATGCTCCTGAAATTTAACCTCTTCACCTGACTCACCTGAAGGTTCAGTGAAGTCTGACTGATTCCAGGATCAGCTCATGGTGGCCAATGTGGGGTGCGTTTGACCCCAAGGTACAAGTGCCATGGGGTATGTCATATCGAGAGTCAAATGTACCCATTGAGGTCCAATAGCTGACTCTGGCACTGCAACAAATTGTTTTGATCAGGGAGCTCGAGAGAGAGAGATTTGGTCAAGTGCAGTCCATGTGACGCGATGAGCTTTAACACTAGAATGTGTGTGGTGAAGTGGGATTGTGCCTCTCAGAGTGTTGAAGCAAAAAGTAACAGTTAGACAAAGTCCAACAGGGATCATTATCCCACAATAATTTACAGCACATGCCCCATATCAGAATGGGAGGGGGAGCTTGTTGAGGAAGTACTGCACCTCTGGAATCAGCTGGAAAATGGCAGTGGAGAACAATGTGCCAATCGCCAGGGCAACAAAGAAGATCAGGAGCCTGTGGAAAGACTGCTTTCGCTGGCACAGCGTGATGCTCACTCCAAGCAACGAGCTGAGGTTTACCACAGATACGCTGAGAAAACCAAAGCCCCACACTGTGCAGTGAAAACAGATCAGTTGAGACATTATTTCAAACGGTATTTCAAACCCAATTCCGCTGCCAGTTAACTCAGGAACACACCTATTGCTGCATCACCATCTCAAAGCACATCACAAACAAACGTACAAACAAGGAACTAGAGTTAGACATTCAGTCCATCTAGCCTGCTCCACCCTTCAATAAAATCTCGGCTGATCTCATTTTAACCTCAACTCTGCATTCCTGCATATTCCTGATCATCAAGAAACTATCTACCTCTGTCTTAGAAAAAAAAGTAAAAATTCTGCATTCGCTGACTTTTGATGAAGGGAATTCCAAAGATTCACAATCTTCTGAAAGAAAAATGTTTCATCATCATCTTCAAGCGCCCCCTTGTTTTTAAACAATGACGCCTAGTTCTAATTCTCTTACAAGGGGAAACATCCTTTCCACATCCAATTGGTCAAGTCCTTTCAGGATCTTTCATGTTTCCGACTCTTCTTTAACTCCAGTGGATGCAGGTGTAGCATGTCCAACCCTTCCTCCAAAGGTAAGAACCACTCATTCTAGGTATTATTCCTATAAATGTTTTCTGAGCTTCTTCCAACACTTTAACATCCTTGCATATGTCCTGTGATCATTACTGTACACACAAATGCATATGCGATCTCACCAATGCTGTGTATAATTAAAGCATCACCTCCCTGCTCTTGATTTCAATTCCCCTCACAATAAAACATAACATTCTATTAATTGAGGAAGGGTCACCGGACCTGAAATGTTAACTCTGTTTTTCCCTTCACAGATGCTGCCAGACCTGCTGAGCTTTTCCAGAAACTTTGTTTTGTTCCTGATTTACAGCATCCGCAGTTCTTTCGGTTTTTATTCTATGAACTTTTCTGATTACTTGCAGTATCTGCATAATAACCTTCTATGATTTATACATTTTGACACCCAGATCCCTTTGCATCTCAGAGCTCTGCAACCTCTTACCAGTTAGATAATAGGCTTCTTTTTGTTTTTCCTGCCAAAATGGACAATTTCACACTTTCTCACACTGTACTCCATTTGTCAGATCATTGCCCATATCCCCTTGTAGATTCCTTAACTCTTGTTCACAATTCACATTCCTGATTATGTTTGTGACATCAGAAAATTTGGGAGAATTAGAACCACACTTCTCTCTCAAACTGTGTGTAAACTTTAATCATATTATGATCCCTGCTACCCATGGGCACTTTCACACTGATTATCCAATCCCATTGGTCAAAAGCAGGTCTAGTAAAATCTGTTAATATAAAGCAAAGAACTGCTGATGCTGGAGATCGAAATTAAAAACAGTCTGGTGGTTCTGATAAAAAGTCACTGGTCTCAAAACATTAACTCTGCTTACTTCCACAGATGCTGCCATACTTGCTGAGTTTCTAAAGCAATTTCTATTTTTGTTGGAGTAAAACTTGCTCTTTGAGTGGTACCATAACATCTTGATGTAAGAAACAGCCCTGAAAACATTCAATAAATTCCTCACAAAACCTACTTTTCCCATCTGATTTTTCCAGCCAAAGTAGGTTAAAATTCCCCATGATAATTGCTGGAGCCTTTTGATAATCCCCTCTGAGACTTTCTTCTTTGATACTCCCTCCTACCTTGTGAGTACTGTTTGGAAATCCGTGTACAGCTCTCACAAGTGACGTCTTGCCTTTATCATTCCTCATCTCAACACAAACTGCATCTACATCCAAAGTTTCCTGAATCTAGGTCATCACAATCTATTAATCTAGGTTATCACACTCTATTATGCTAACATTATCTTTAATTAAAACAGTCACTCCTCCAATTCCCTGCCCTGCCGAAATGTCACAGACCAGTACACCCAAATCTACACTTGATCTTGTGAACCGAAGTCGCAGGAGACAAGACACACAGTCAGCTTCTGTCACTGGAAATGTGGGGAAATTGACAGCACGGTGATCCCTCAGCACTGACCCTCTGACAGTGCAGCACTCACTCAGTACTGACCCTCCGACAGTGCGGCACTCCCTCAGCACTGACCCTCCCACAGTGCAGCTCTCCCTCAGTACTAACCCTGTGACAGTGCGGCTCTCCCTCAGTACTGACCCTCCCACAGTGCGGCGCTCCCTCAGTACTAACCCTGTGACAGTGCGGCACTCCCTCAGCACTGACCCTCCGACAGTGCGGCGCTCCCTCAGTACCGACCCTCCGATAGTGCGGTACTCCCTCAGTACCGACCCTCCGACAGTGCGGTACTCCCTCAATACCGACCCTCCGACAGTGCGGCACTCCCTGGGTTTTAGAAGACTGGAAGTCACTTACCCTCCGAGGGTGTGGGCTTTAAGAGAACAGTGGCCTCATTCTCCTCATTCTCCTGCTTTTCTGCAGCACATGCTCCACTCTCCAGCTGCTGGAGGATTGTTGGACAGATGTTTTTGAAGGTGGCACTGTCTATCCTGCTGTTGTTGTTGAGATTGTGAATTGCAAAAAGCTGTGATGAGGAAAAGCACTGGATGGGGAGAGAAAACATCACCGAGTCACTGTTGTTCCTCTGAACTCCCTCCCAGTCTCTCAGCAACATGCGTCAGACCCTTGTTAGTCTTTTTATTAATCCTTTCACAGGCATGGACAAGGCGAGCATCTGACTGATATTCCTGATCGCCCTTGAATTGAGTGGCCTCATGGGCTGTCGATAACACGATGGGTCAAATGGCCTGCTGGTGCACTGTAACAATTCTGAAAATTTTTTTTGGGTTTCAGAGGGTAGCTGAGAGTCAAAAACATTGCAGTGGGTCTGGAGTCACATGTGGGCCAGACCAAGTAAGATTGGCAGATTTCCTTCCCTTTTATACTTTTTCCCCCTCTCACCTTAAACCTATGCCCCTCTAGTTTTGGATACCCCTACCCTTTGCTATTCACCTTATCTGTGCCCCTCATGATTTTATAAACCTCTACATGGGCACCCCTCAGCCTCCACTGCTCCAGGGAAAAAAATAACCCAGCCTCTCCTTATAACTCAAACCTTCCAGTCTCAGTGACATCGTTGTAAACCTTTTCTGCACCTTTTCCAGTTTAGTAACATCCTTCCTATATATGTAGAGACAGAGACCCATTCTCTGCAAACAATGGAATATGATGACAGTGAAAGCCATCAGCGATTCTAGCAACAACCCACCTGTATCAATAACATCCTCTGTCATTGATTCATTCATCTCTTACCTGATCTGGTCTACATGTGACTCCAGACCCTCAGTGATGGGGTTGACTCTTAAAAGCCCCATGAAATGCCTCAGCAAAACACACAGATCAAGGGGGGCAATTAGGGATGAGGAACTGTTTACCTACAGTTTAGGAGTGCATAAGGACGGCACAAGTGGGGAAGTAAGGAGGGGGTTCATGGAGAAGCAGAATGGGGTGAGTGGGCGTGTGGTGGGGTTTACCTGTGATGATCCTAAAGGGAACAGTCTGAAGTTTCTCTGACCAAAACAGCAGATGGTTCAGGAGTAAATTTCCGAAAGCAGGAACACCGAAATGGGAATCCAGCTTTGGGAATGCGAAGAAAAGCTGGAATCCAGAATCAGGCTCAGTTTCATTGACTGGCAAGGTCTGGGAACATTCCAAAATAGGGATAAGATAATTCATCCAATCTCAGGGAACCACAAGGACTGGGAGAGAGCTGACAGGGTATAGGAACTGAGCATAGAGATCCAGATTAGGGGATAGTCAAACAGGCAGAGAGAGTGGCAGAGGCGGAAGTGGGAAACAGGTCGGAAATCAAGCCTTGGAGGGGCTAATGCTCAGGGTTTGAGTTTCCGTGGGAATGAGAACCAGCTGGGGAGGCAGGAAAATGATGGGCGCAAAATGGCCCAACAAAACCATAAAGTCGCAGCAATCAGATTCAAACTTCCATTTGTATGACAACTGTAGTGAGTGGAATGAGGTCAGCCAGTTGGATCTGATAGAATCTGAGTTCCCTGATTGGACCAGGTTAACAGCCCCAGTCAGGGAGCCCTGGCTGACAGATAAGAACAGGAGTGTCAGAGGTTCTGTTTGCTCTGAGAGAGCTGGCTCTGAATGAGGCCAGTCCTAAAGTCACAGATTCTCCAAGTGTAAATAAAGGGTGACTTGGTGATGGATCCCGGCCTCTGTGGAGTTATTTCAACAACGTGCATGTCCTAAAAACAATTCAAGGCACTTGACAGAAAGGATCAATCAGACAACATCCGACAGCAACTCATCAGGGTTGATGGTTAAACTGGCAGGTTTTAAGAAGCATTAGGGACAGCAAGAGGGAAGGTCTGCAAAGGACCAACGGGGTTTGGGGAATTAGAGACCGAAAGCATATTCACCGATGGTGAGATCATTAAAAATGAGACTGTTCAAGACAGCAGTGTTACGGACCAGGCCAAACCCCCTCAAAGCATGTCAAGGAGATAGCCTAAACCCTAATTTTTTCTTATTTTATAGGCATATGCCAGGCTGTGTGTTCTGGATGCGATTCATACAGTCAAACTATCAGACTTGAAGCAAAACACACTTTATTTATACACTATAGTTAAAATACAGACAAAATAAAAAAAGAACTGGCTTAACTGTAATTCTTTCAAAATACTCAAAAAATAAACTATTCATTAACTGTTCCAATAGACTAACATCCCATAAGCAAACCCTTGGCAAAGGCAAATTTAGTAAAATAAATTGTCTCACAGACAATTCTAGCAGCAGGAAAAGAAACCCGCATTTAGCTGTAAGAGGGAGAGGAATCAGAGCTTCCACACCCAGCTTCAAGACCCCAGCAACTGCAGAAAACTAAAACTAAAAATCCTGGTCCTATGGGAACTTGTCCCCACCCATTCAGACTGCTTCTATTTGTTTCAACTTTTAAAAAAAAACCGAGGCCTCACAAGCTGTTTACTGGCTTTGAGCAGACCACTTAGCACCTCTGTCTCAACCGTTCTTCATCGGGAGGAGGATAAAATACAGCTCTTAAAGCCAAAGTATCATCAGAGCAGCAATAGGAGAAGGGTGGGTAAAAGAGACAGGAAGGGACTGAAGAAGGTCAGGGACATAATGGAGAATTTTCACATCGGGATGCATTAATTCACAGGGAATAACCAGAGTGGAGAGGTGAATGGGACATTGTGCGAATGAAGAGATGTCAGGATTAGGAGCTCAAGGTGACAGACAGCAAAAACAGCAGACAGGCCCTCACCTTGGAAAGGTTGTTGGTGCTGTGACCGGTTGGTATGCTGGCACTCCCTACACCAATGTCCAGCCGGTTGAGAAGAGCCTTTAGCTGGTGCAGCACAAGGACTTCATTGTCTCCATAGCGTTGCAGGAGGTCATGGAGAAAGGCTGTGGGTAGAATGGTCACATTGCCTTCTGCGGTAGTGACTGAGAGCGGGACACCCAGCAGCAACAGCAGCCACATGTTGTGATGCTCACCCCAGAGACGCAGGCTGAGAAAAGACAAAAGGCCAAAGATCAGCACATCACCGTCAGACATGACCGATTTCTTCACACAGACCAAGGTCAGTCAAAAAACCTTCCCTTCATCCCATACCGAATGGCGGCTAAATTCACGAAGAGACACACAACAGCAGAAAACCTCACCAAACTACTGCCACACATGATGAGGTGGGCCGCAGAATGTCAGCTTTCAGGACAGGAAGTGCAAAAACACACACAAAACAAACAAGAAAACTTTTTCCTAGTGCCCCAGACAATCCCAAAATGTCCCAAAGCACTTTACAGGCAAAGAAGCATTTCTAAATTAAGTCACAACCATGACAAAAGGCAGATGGGTCGGAGGGTCAGTGCTGAGGGAGATCCGCACTGTTGGAGGGTCAATACTGAGGG